CCCCCCCCCCCCCCCCCCCCCCAATGTACATACTTATTTCTCCAATTAATATCTGTAATTTGAATCAAGATCTTAAAGGTATATCTAACAATTCTGAAAATTCAGTGAAGAATTCAGACACCCGTGAAGAATCTTGTAAAGGTCTTTTGGTTACCTCAAATTTGAGTGATCATGTTCTGGTAATAACTTAAATCAGTATTTTCTCCTCTTCAAACAACAATTTCCTTTGCCCTCAATTAATTCTTTCAGCCAATCAGTTGTTCATGTGCCAGGATCAATTGTCATCTTAACTAAAGGGGTTATCAGACCATCTTCATCTACAGAACTTCCAGATTCTTCAGTTGCTCCTCATATTGATTCTGATGGGGATTTGGACATTATCTTAAGTAGTGAAGATTTGGAATATCAATTAGCCGAGGTTGAGATTGATGACACAGCAATTGAAGAGTCGAAAGCCTTTGAACTTCTTTTTCCAGATGTAGTTAATGCAGAAGCTCCTGATCACTCTCAACTAGAGGTACCAGAAGTAAATCCTCCTTAAACTTCCATCCAAATTTTCTTCTCTTATTGAGGATTGGAGCTTACAGATGCATGAAATTTCTCGTTTATTACCGCAAGTTAAGGTTTAATTGGGCTTCTTTATACTAATCAGTAATGAAAATAATTTCTTGGAACATTAAAGGGCTGGGGGTTGGTTCTAAGCGTGTTGCCTTAAAGAAATTCATTCAGAATCAGTGTCTTGATTCAATGCTGATTCAGGAGACAGAGCAGATTTTGATCTTCTTTTGATTATGTGGGATGATTTAGTGCTGATTCAGGAGTCAATAATCTGTTTTATATGATATAGGTAGTTTCTATGTTTAATGATCTTTTCTCTATGTTTCTTGAAAAGTTCTTGTATTTTCTTTAATTTCTTGCACGATTCTTTCTTCTTGTAATCTTTAATCTTGTAATTGCCCAAGTTTACTTTTATTTATCCATTTGCCCAAAATGGTCAAGCCTAATTCAGAGTACTTGGGTTACTTATGAGTTGTTAGGCAGTTTGTGGCCTTTAAATAGTTAGCTTTAGGTTCTATTCAGGTACCTTTTGATTGAATAATAATTAAGACTACCTTTGCATTACATTATTATATTTGTTTGAACTGTTCCCTAAGGAAGAAAATTTTCAGAACACATTAAAGGCTTGGAGTGACATGGAAGAAGAGTTTTTTATTGCTTTCAATTTTAATGGCGACTATGATTTTTAGATGTAACAAGAAAAAGTATTATTCCTTACCTTGGATAAGTTTTAAACAAATCAGAGATTCAACGACTCTAATTAATTTGGTGCAACAAGTCTTCAACAGGCCAGAAACATATTTTTATGAAAAAAAAGAATTGGGTCATTAAAAGAAGCTTTCCTACTCCCTTATCTTTTGAAATTCAAGGTCAAGTTCTTTTTTAAGAAGGAAGGAATTGTTGTAGTGTAATTGGTAGTAATTGTGTAATTTTTAGTTTAAGTTAGGGTTAGTGTGTTGTTGATTCCTTTACTTGGATTATCAATTACATTTGAAGTAAAAATACATGTTTGCACCAACATAACAAGTCAACCTGAATTTAATAAAGAAATGAATAGTATCTATAAAGAAAGTTCAACATTCCATATAAAAGAAGGAAAAATATTACTCAACAACGGGACATGTAAAAGAATTACGCACGGAGTAGATGATATCAGATGCAAAAGAATCTTGAACAAGGTTGTCAGCAATCTACCATGAGTTGAACGTTGGATCAAATACAGAACACCTATACCCAAAATACTCGAGCAGTTATAATGGAAGGTTAAAACACGAAGGAAAGTTCCGTGGAAATTAAAAGAGAAAATAACATTAGAAGATGAGAGAAAGGCGGTTAACAACCAAAAAAAGTTAATTGGAGGAGGGGGACTTAACTAATCCATCACAAACAGAAGCCTGAAGTACTGAAACTCTACTGCAACAATCCAGGAAATATATAAAGTACACTAGAAACACAAATATAGATGGGGTGGAAAGAATTTGTGGTTCATCTCATTGGAAACAAATTGTAATGAAAAGGAGCTACAATGAAGTTAAAACTGGAATCATCTCTCTAAACCTCCCAACCTATTATCTATCAATCTGTGCAGCCCCTATAAAGTAAGGAAATTAACCGGCTATGTGTCTTTTAATTTTCAATGGCCTTTGCTACTGTAACCTTCCCGACCATGATTTCATTTTTTGTTCTAGTCACCCCAAAATACATTATTCAATTGGTGCTACTTTGGATGGAAAGAAACAACCTCATCTTCTCCAGATACTAAAAAACCCATTGACCAGCTTTAGGACAGCATTGTTTGCTTATTGTCGTTATGGGCAAAAAAGTCCAAATACTTCTGTAATTACTCTCTTTCCAATATACGGACCAACTGGAGAGTATTCATATAGCTCCTGGTTCCCTTCTACTTTTCAATCTCTTAATGGAGTGCTTGTTTCCTTAAGAAAATAATTTTTTTAAAAAAAAACCTTGAGTACCTGTATGAAGTTGCATCAGTATCTGCCCAAGGGAAATCGAAAGGGGCATAAAGGATCCACATTTAGTTGGATCTTTGTATTCTGCAATCTGCAAGGAAATGGTGGTAGTCCTATCCAACATAACCACCAGGGCTGCAGCAGATGCAATCTGAGCCTGGGCAAGCCAAAGCAGTATGTAATAGGTAAATGAACCTAGCAACACTAAACGAATAAAATAACAAGTAGATACAAAAAAATAAAATGAGAAGGAACCACACTTTCAGCCTAATTACAAGCTGAGTTGATTAAACAAGTACAGGAAACATACTTTCAGAGAAGGATCAAATAGCAGACACGTCATTAAAGTTGCGTCAAATTTCCTACAAGAATATAATTAAGGATGTAGAAGAAATAAGTATGAAATATAAGTAGATAGCAAGAAATGGACAGAGACTATAAATTAATAAACTTCAGCATCGATATTACAACAGAGGACCTACCTTGGCAGCAGCACGTCTCGAGTTGGCAAAAGAAGTGTCCATTGACTGGTGAATGCTTTGGGGTCAACTTGGCAAAGATCCTGTCAACCAAAATTAAGACAACATAAAAACTTTAAGCCCTAAAAAAAACTGGACAATTCCAAGCATGGTTGACATTAATAAAATACTGATGATTTTCTCGCACTCTAAAACTTTGAACTCCAGCAACTGATCTTTTTCTTCTTTTTTAATCAGAAAAAAGATCTTAGAACTCCAAAAGTTTATGTTTCACCAAGTACATATAGCAAAAAAGTGCGGGAAAGTAGAAGAGGATTTAAGAGTATCAGCATAGGTAATGCTGTGGCAGAAATTTGATGACATCTAGCTGGTCTTTTCATAAGAAACGAGAATTGTATTAAAAGAAGAAAAATGGGAGAACAACCTAAGGGCCGGGGGTGGAGGGATCTCCCACCCAGAACAAACAAAAAGAACGCAGTCCAATAGTTAAAGATCGTAGTAGGATTGTAATTACAAAAGAAATTGTTGTAACTATATCTCCAGCTAGAAGCAGTAAGTTGTACATTTCTACAGAAAATAAAAATAAAAAAAACTCAAAAGAATCCTCAATGACATAGGACATCCTTTTGTAATCTATTTCATCAATCAATGAACTAGGTTTTGTTTCCTATAAAAAGAACACTGGTGTCGTTAAAGTTATTCAAAGCATTGAACTAGATTTTCAATGTGGTTCTTTTTTTCTTTTCTTTGGGTAAAAAGCTGAACTTTTATTAGAAAAAAATGGAATTTGTGAATCCACAATCTTTCATGTGATTTCTTGATATTTTACCACCAGCGTCTTTAAAGTTTTTTTTTTTTTTTTTTTTTTTCCCTT